CCACCATAGCCATGGCCACCCTTCCTCTTCCTCTACATACAAGCCGAGGCTATTGCGGACTACTGAGGCTTCAGCCTCTTGTCCAAAGGACAACCTAAAGCGGCTATGTCGCTGCCCCACTTCAAGCAGCGATGCCGCTACTCACTGAACCGCCATGGATGACTCTACCCCGAGCTTCCTTGGTGCGGCACTACCCCAACGGGGGTCTTCCAGATGCAGCGCCTCACAAGGTGATGAAGATGGTGTTCACCATAGCCAAGTAGGTACCTCGCCACTCTCCCCCTTGGTCCCCTTCTTCCTCCTCCTCCTACCGGTAGAGCTCCACCATAGCCAAGGTGGAAGCTCCCGACTTCTTCCTCCTAGCAGCGCTGTAGCATCTAGCGCTCTTCCAACCAGCGCTCCAACAACGTGACGCCCAACTCACACACTGAAGAATGAGGCCGAGCTCTTGCCTCGGCCTCTTGATATAGCGGCATGCTTGCCTCTTGGGCAGTGACTTCCAGGCCGCTCGGCCTCCTAACCAACCGGTACCTCCTCCCTTTCGGAGGGAAACATCATTGCAGACTCTGATATTGCCCGTGCAGGCTCTAGACTCAGACTGGATGGACTCGTATTGGCCTATACCTAGCCTACCGCTACTGGGCCTCTAAAAATGCCAACTTTGTCTTCTTCTGCTCGGCATCGAGTACCCGACACATCTACTGCTACTGGGTGCGGTATCGGCCTACCTGCTACTTTAGTGTTTTTCCGTTGCTCTAGGTGCCGCGGGCCCCTGCCTCCGCTACTTGAGTGCTTTCCCCTGCCGCAACCCTCAATGCCACGACCACAGGTAAGTACCGGCCCTACGGGCCTGCCAAACAAGCAAGTACCCTTACGGGTCACACACACACTCATGCCGACAAGCACTCAGACAGGCACGAAGTCAACAGGCACGCACACATACAAACTTAGAAAACACAGCAGAATGCGGGAATCTCAGCAAGGCATCCATTCCATCGACATAACTTCATAAATCAGCAGTGTTTTACAAGTTTGTCTTATGGATGCTTCCTTTTTGCCGTGGAGAGATTTCGGAATCGCAGAGGGCACTTGGCAGAAGAGGAAGGACAAGGGTCTGAGATGTGAGGGCAACCATTGTGTCAAGGATTGCCCTAGGCTGAATCACAACAACTGCAACCACTAAAAAAACTAGATAGGCCAGCAAAGACTACAACTAGTCCTGTTGAACTGAATTAATTTCCCTTAGGTGATGGGTCAACTACAAAGTCTGATCTTTCTGAGGCTGCAAAGGGCTCAATGTTCTCATACATTGAACCATTTATTGATGAGCTCTTATCAAAGGAAGAACAAGGCCATCTTTGTTTTCTTCATCTCCAGTTGAAGGAGAAAAAGAAGAAGAGATCAAAACTAATCATGTTCAAGCCTCAAATTAGCCGAACTAGGACAAAGACTCTGCTTGACTATGGAGCAATCAGGAACTCCATTTCACCAAATGGATTTCAAAAACTCCACCTGAGTCTCAAGGTTTCAGACCTTCAGCATCCTCTAGAGATTCAGGTAGGGAACTCACAATCTGTCTCAGTCAAACAAGTGGTCAAGGGTGTATTAGTCACCTTCGATGAAAAAGGGGAGCTCAAACAATCTTTGAATTTTTATGTCTTCCCTTACCCTCCCTTTGATCTGGTCCTGAGTTTGAAGTGGATGAAGGTCACTAATCCTTTAATTGACTGGGCCCTCCCCAGCATGCAATTGAAGAATTGCCAATATGTCTTACCTAATGATCACAATCCTAAGAAAAGTTGTTACTCCCTGAAAGTCAGGGAGTTTTACAACTTGTCTAAGGAGGCTGATCATTAGAATTTGTTTGTGGCTTATGTCACTCAAACAGATTCAAGCTCTTTCTCTTTGCAAATTGATTTGTCAATTCAAAAGGTGGTCGACGAGTTTGCGGATTTGGAGCCGGAGCAGGAACCTATAGGCTTTGTCTATAGGCAGACCAAGCATTACATCCAAATTTTGCCCGACTCTACCCCTCCCAAGGGAAGACTCTACAGAATGTCACCTACTGAATTGGATGAGTTGAAGAAGCAGTTAGAATCCTTGACAAAGAAGGGATGGATCAGGCCTAACTTATTTGAATATGCGGCATCAGTTCTCTTTGTTCCAAAGGGAAATGATGAACTCATGATGTATAGAGGTCTGAATAAGATCACTAGGAAGAGCTATGAGCCCTTACCTAGGGTCGATGACTTGATGGACATGGTGCAGGGCTGCAAAGTCTTCAACAAAATTGATATGAAATCCGGGTACCATGAGATTGAAATGGTTGAAGAGGATGTGCACAAGACAACCTTTAAGACCAAGTATGGCACCTATGAGTATATGGTCATTCCATTTGGTTTATGCAATGCACCATGTACTTTCCAGACTGAAATTAATGACATTTTCATACCATATTTGTATAAGTTGGTTGTGGTATATATGGATGACATTCTAGTGTTGAACAAAACTGTTAATGACCATGCTGATCATCTTAGAAAGATTCTGCAGATTCTAGGGGAGAACAAATACAAAATCAACAAAGAAACGTTATGTTGTTGTGGCTCTTTTCTTGTGTATTTGAAGATGACCTTTCTCTAGAGTTATCTAAGGTTTCTGATGTTAGGGACTGACCATAACCACAGACAGTCAGAGACATCAGGTCTTTCATGGGTCTGGCATCAGAAACTTTTCCACTATCGCCACTCCCCTGACTAGCCTGCTGGCTAAGGATATTCCTTTTATTTGGACTCCTAAGTACAAGAAGGCCTTGACCCAAGCACCTGTGCTGAAACTGTTTGACCCTACCTTGCCATTTGTGTTGACTACAAATGCAAGTCCGTATGAAGTTGGTGCAGTTCTTTATCAAGATAACGGGACTGTTCTAAAACCAATGAAATTCACGAGTAAGAAAATAAAGGTACAAAGAATTCAAGCATCAACCTATGAAAAATAACTTTATGCTCTCGTTTGTGCCCTCAAACAGTGGAAGCATTTCTTGCTTGGGAGCCACTTCAAGATCTACTATAATCACTTCACTCTTCAGTGGATGAAGACCCAAGGTGACTTGAATGACAAACTGACGACGTACATTCAATTCATCGATGGATTTGACTTTGAACTAAAGCACAAGAAGGGGTGCTAGAACATGGTTGTTGATGCATTGTTGTGTGGATGTGGTTCATTTGCTACCATTCTTAATACCTACTCCTTTGCTAAATCCACCAAACAAATTATTGTTAATGCGTTGCCTCAGGACCCAGTTTTTGGCCCCATGCTTAGGAATCTGCAAGCCGACTCCAATTCTGAGTTGGGCTATGCCTTGACCTCAGCCTTGTTGTACATAATTAGCGAGGGGAAGAACATTTGTGTATCCCTAATGATCGCAAGATCATTACTCATTTGATCTCAGAGAGTTTTGGGTTCTTAAAGACACAAGGTAACCCGGGCGGCCCGACTGGTAACCTATGAGATTATGCTATAATATAATTTATTTAAAAAAAAACATACATAGAAAGCATACGTACTCATCCCTTCCTTCTCCTCCATCGTAACATTTTTCTACTTTGTCCTCTTCGTGCTCTTCCTCCTCCCTCATAGCGTCCTCTCCATCCTTCATAATAGCTGCCACCTCTTCTTCGTCGCCATCCCCCTCCATCTCTCATCGTCGGTGTACTCCTCCTACACCACGCCCTTCTCTCCATCCTCCATTGTAGCCGCCACCTCCATAGTAGCGCCCTGCTTCTCCATCGTAATGTCTCCTCCTCCTTCTAGATCGTGACCTCCTCCTCCTCCTCCTCCTGTGTCACCCTCCTCACACTCCTCCACCGCACTGTCCTCCTCGTGCTGCTCCATCATAGTAGGGCCCTGGTGGGATGTTCTTGTCGTCATCCTCCTACATCGTAGCCTCCTCTCTCTCCACTATAGCTGCCACCTTATCTTCGTCGTCGTCCTCCTCTATAGTAGCGGCCTGCTTCTCCATCATTGTGTCTTGTTCCTCCTTGTTTTCCTCCATCTTAGCGCCCTCCCCCTCCATCTTCCGGCACACTCCTCCTCCTCCAGTCTTGTCATGGTTCTCCGTCTCCTCCATCCTTCTCATAGTTCTCCTCCTCCTTATTCTAGATCATGACCACCTCCTCCTCCTCCTGTGTCGTAACGGCGATGTGGCCCTATCGCCCTCCTCCAGTGTCCCATCCACCTCCTCCCGGTGCTCCTCCATCGTAGTGCCTTGACACGGACCATGCGGCCAAGCCCGTCCATCTACATTCCAAAGTGCGAGGCACGATTAAAAGAGCCAAAAAAATCTGTAGTCGAAGATTCAGGAGCGGCTCCAATGAGGCACTGAAGGGAAAAAAACAAGCTACGGGCCAAAAAAAAAAGACAGTCTCGCAATAGTCCCGCCCGCCACCAGTTTCTGTTGGGCCCAGCGGGCAGCGTCAGTTGAGGACCGGGTTAGTCCTAAGGAGTGTAGAGATGTGCTTCCTTGACCCAACGTTTGTACTGGTCAAGAATGAGAGAGGGTATACTCAAATACTTGAAGTCCTGTGGATTGTGCCAAAGGAACAAGGTCGACAGACGACCTCCTATGGGACTACTCAAACCTTTACCTATCCCTGCTGGTCCTCGTGAGTCTGTCTCCATAGACTTTACAGATCTGGACAAGACTACTCCATAGGGCATGAGACAAGTAATGATCTGTGTGGATCGTTTCTCTAAGTTTGTTGAGTTTACCTGCTGAGTACCTATGCTCATAGAGTTTTTCTGTGAGAGGTGGGTGAATGTCCATGGCTGCCCATCTTCCATTGTCTGTGACAGAGACCCCATATTCTGGAGCGATGATGAGAGACATCCTGAAGCCAATGGACATGCTGCAGTGATGAACCAAGTTCTGTTTCAGTTGCTGCGTCCTCTTATCACATCCAAGTAACAGGGCTGGGACAAATATCTGTCTTGGGCACAACTGATGTGTAATACATTTGTTCACAGCAATACAGGTTTTACACCCTACAGGCTGCACTTTGCCAGAGATCGAAGACAACCTCTTGATGATCTCATTGACAAGTCTAAGCCCAAACTAACTCCTGGAACCACAGAATTTACCAAGAGTTATGATAAAGACCTAGAGAAAGTTAGAACTAGCATGTTCAAGGCCCATAAGTAGATGATAGAACAGACTAATAAGCATCGTTCTCCCTCTCTTATCCGGCCAGGTCACTTGGTCTGGGTGAAAATATCTGAACTAACGGACGAACATGACATATCATGAAAGTTGTTGCCTATTTGCTATGGCTCATGGCAGGTGCATGATACTTCGGGGGCAGATCCCTTTGGACCTTCATATGTTCCTGTACCCCCTCATATCAGAACTTATCCTGTCTTTCATGCCTCAAAACTGCTGCCTTTCACCCCTGCTGATGCATTCCCTGACAGGCCACGCCGGTTTGGACCTCCTATCCCTGGAAAGGGATACGAAGTTGAGAGCATCAAAGATCAAAGGGGCACAGGCCCCAACAGTGAAAAACTGTGAAGTTTCTCTTCCAAACGTATACCGAGGATTGTTGGTGTACAAGGAAAGAACTTTTCAAGTCCGCAAATTCAGTTGTGCAGTTCTACGAGGCTAAACAAAAAGGACAGTTGCTTGGACGGTCTCCTTTTGGACACTCCCAGCTCGGGGTCCTCGCTCCCCGGGAGAGTAGAAATGCAATGAGTTGCAGTTTTTACTGCGTGCTGTACACTAATTTTGGTTGTTGTGTTCCAATCTTGAGTGCTCCGGGACGTGATCCCGTGACTTGTAAGTTGTTTGCTGCTTTTGTTTGTTTGCTTGTCTCGCGCCTTGCTGGGCTCGATCCCCAGACTGGACTGTAGTAGTCTCTGTTGGCTGGTCTTAGACCCATTGGCCTTCTGTTTTTTCCCTCGTTTTTACCAGGCATGTAGGCTCTCCTCCTTTTTCCTGCTTTCCAGTCTGGATCCAGTCCTAGGCAGTAGGCTGTCGGGTCTTAAGCTGTAGAGGTCTACAAAGTGGTCGAGGGCAGAGGGAAACGGGTTCTGCTCGTCAGTTTTTTTCACGAGCGTTTGCTGGAGGTCGTGGCCTGCTGCTGCGTTAATTGTCATTCGCTTCGACCAGTTACTGCTGGCTGGAAGGGCTCGCGGCCATAGCTGTGGCCATCTCTGCCGGACATCTGGCTGCCTTGGGCTTCAGGCCCTAGGCGCTGTAGGTGTGTCCTCGTTGCTGTGCTTGTTGGGGTTCGACAGGGAGCTTCCATTGAAGCTCTGCTGGAAGTATACTTTGAAATCGCAGCCATCTGCTTCTTCTTCAAGTTGGTGTTCTTCTTCTCCATCCAGGGAACTACCCTCCCCTCTTGAGCAGACTGAAATCAGACTCGTCTTCGTTCTTACTCAGCATGCATGAAACAGATGCAATCAGACTCGCTCTCATTCACACTTCTCACGCATGCAAACAGGTGCGCAGCAAACTGGCAACAAGCGCCCACTCAGAACTCAGAGATATGGTAACCGAGAACACAGTTCAGATTCAACTTCACTTCGATGGCTATGGCGACTCAGCGCCCACACAACTCACTGTTCGCATACGCAGGATCACCCTGGATATCCCACACGCGATACTCTGAACACATACACACACACACACTGACCTCTACTACAGCTATGGTGGCTATGGCCGCTTCTACCCTATCACTATGGCTACACTCCTTCTCTCTCGCCCACTTTGTCCTCGGGCTCACTGCAGACCACCTCGCACAAGTCGCTTGTGGCAGCGCTTCCACATGGCTCATGCAGGAATGAATGAATGACTGGGCGCTGCCTCTTGATTTATACTTCTGCAGCTCGTTGGTCTGGCCCTTTTCCCATGCCCGTAGAGCACACAGTCCCATGCGGTACTTGCTTGACTGGACCAGGACTGCCTAGGACTGGGACTGTTGACTCAGCACGGGTAGACTCCACCACTTGCCCACTTGCCTCACCACTTCCCCACTTGCCTCAGCCTAAACGTGGGCAACTTCGAAAGGCCACTACTCGGACCTTCCGGAAGGTTGTAGACTTGGCCTTTCGATACCGTAGCAGCTACGACCTTGACCTTTCTGGACTATAGCAGCTACGACCTTGACCCTTCGAGACAGCTACAGCTATGACTGTTAGACCTGACTGGGACTCCTATTTGACAGGTCTACAGATTGAACCCCTGCTACCTATGGGCCCCTATGACAACCTACCAGTTGTTACAAATACACAGGTCACAGGTTCAACTCTAGGGGTCGACACAGATACTGTACACAGGTAAGGTGGGGACTAGGGATCAAGCCCTGGGATCTGCATCAGCTACTGCGAACTGGTGAATACCGTTTCACTCCTGCCGGCCTAAATTCGAGGTCCTCCGAGAATAACTCAGTCCAAGGCAGGACCTTTACCTCTCTGATCTCTTTCGTAGGCTCTAACTATATCGGGAGTTGTCTCTAGAAGTTCTGCTCTAGTGAACCAGCGGTCATCCTCCGGCTCCTGATAAGCAAACCGGACCTTATATTGTTTATGTGGACGACCTCTTCCTCCTATTCTAAACACATCTTCACCTACAATGCCGTCAATGTAATATCTGTCGTCCATGTCTGGAGGGATCATGGACCGTCTAGATGGAAATTGTTGACTGGTGACACACGGCAGCAACTTTGATGCGTGAAACACACGGTAGGTGTGGAGGTGTGCTAGGATCTCTATAGTATAGGACGGCCCATCCTCTCCGCCCTTAACTTCTAGAACTGGCCACGGTCCTCTATACGCGGGCAATAACTTCTGCGAGATGTTCTCCTCAGGCGCAAACTCTTTAGACTTGACCCAGACCAGGTCGCCTACCTGAAACTGCGATGGGCCTAAACCTAATTTGGGTGCTGCAGGATTTTGTTCATCTGCTCGGTCTGACCGTTAGTCTCTGGATGGCGGCCAGACGACATCGACAACTTAGATCCATAGACTCTCATCAGCTCCTGCCAGTTCTGGCTGGTAAAACGGGTATCTCTATCACTAACAATAGACAATGGGACGCCATGCTCGCTAACCCAAAAATCAACGAACTTCTGTATTACTAACTCTGTGCGTGCCTCTGCAGGCAAAGGAACAAAAATAGCATACTTGCTAAATCTATCAACTACAACCATGACTTGGCTCTTGTCGTGCCTACTCTTGATACCAGCATCCATGAAGTCAATAGAGACTAAATCTCCAGGCTGGTCTGGAATAGGCAAGTGTCTGAGAAGACCTAGAGGGGCACGCGTAGTAGTCTTGTTCCTTTGACAAACTTTACAACTGCGGACATACTCTATGGAGTCGTTTTTCATTCCTGGCCATGTGTACGCGTGCATAAGATTGGCTAAAGTCTTTTGCCAACCGAAGTGTCCCTTTGTATCATGGCATGCCCCAGGATCAAACTGCGGATTTCCTCACTGTTGGGAAGGCATAGGCGGTCTACTACATTAGTCTTCTTGAATAACAAACCCTCTGTAGTGCGATAATCTGGCTCAGTCTTTGGGGCCTCCTTAACCTTCTTGAGGAGGTCGCTATAGATAGGTTCCTGCGCATATGTCTGTCTAACTTTCTCTTGTAGGTCACGCCCTATGTCCAGATAGTGAACTATGGCTCCAAAGTAGTCTGACCACCTACTCAGAGCATCCGCAACTACATTGTACTTGCCCTTAACTGGCTTGAGCTCAAAGTCGTACGGGTCTATCTCAGCGGTCCCCCTAGTCAACTTAGGTGTCATTTTGGCCTGTGTCTTCAACCATCTAAGTGTCTCATGGTCTGAATACACTTTGAAGTGCCTCCCAAGCAGGTAATGCTTCGAGTGCTCTAAAGCCTGCCTGAGAGCGTAGAGTTCTCTCTCATACGTCGAGGTAGCAACCTTCTCTGAGGGCATCCTCGCTTACATGAACTTTACGGGTCTGTAGCCATTGTCGTCGTCCTGCTGTAACACGACGCCTATACCATACTGACTCGCGTTCGTGGTGACGACAAATGGCAAGGACGGATCTGCTACTTTGAGGACAGGGTACTCTATCAACGCGCGCTTTAACTTCTTTAGTGCAAACGTACAATCCTTATCCCACCGCCAGATTGCCTCTTTCTTGAGCAATCTGCGAACGGGAGCGGCGATAGTGGAGAAGTTCCTCACGAACTTCCTATAATAGTTAGCCAGATCAAAGAACGATCGCAACTCAGTCAATGTGCGGGGCGTCGGCCAATCTCTAATCGCCACTATCTTACTGTCCTCAGGCTTAATGCCATCTCCGTCTAATACGTGGCCCAAGTACAAGACTTGTGTCTTGGCCCACTCGCACTTCTTCGCATTGATCTTGAAGTTAGCTTCTCTCAGCTTCTCCAAGACCTGCCTCAAATGACCCTGGTGCTCTTGGAGGGTCCCACTGAAGACTAAGATGTCGTCTAAATACACTACGACGAATCTATCTAACCAAGGACTAAACAGATCATTCATACATCGCTGAAATGTCATTGGCGCATTGGTTAGTCCAAAGGGCATCACTATGAACTCATAATGCCCATATCTAGTCCGGAACACAGTCTTGTACTGGTCATCAGGATTAACTTCTATTTGATGATAACCGGACTTCAAATCTATGTTTGAGAAATACTTGCAACCCTGCACCCGATCTAGGAGATCGTCTATCTTGGGCAGTGGTTCAACATTCTTGACTGTGATAGCATTCAGACCCCTATAGTCTATACACATTCGCAGCTCTCCTTCTTTCTTGGGGACAAATAAAACTGGTGCTCCAAAAGGAGACGAACTGGACCTAATCCAACCCTTCTCAAGGAGCTCGTCTAGTTGCTTGCACAACTCCTCTAACTCTCTAGGGGATATCTTGTAGACTGCACCTTTAGGAGTTTTGCTGCCAGGCTCTATCTCTATCTTGTGCTGGATCGGCCGCGACACTACTCCTGTCGGCGGCTCTGTGAGATCTTTAAACTCTTTCAGCAGCTTGGCAATGGTTGGATCCATGGAACTATCTTTTTGATTAGGCTCAGTGACAGGTCTAACATACACTACGAAGACCTGATCCTCTAACTGCTCCTTTCTCACTAATCGCGCAAACGTGGGAGCACTTAGACAGCAATGCGCCAAGGAGTTGTCTACTCCCGACACATGGAATAGGCGGGCAGTCTTAACCTCGCCAGACGGACTAGGGAGCCTACACTCATGCTCTCTTAAGTGGAGTGTGGCCCCTGCTGCCTCTCCCCAGTCCATGCCTAGGACTATGTCAAAAGGAAGGTCATCCTGAACGAGGAGAGTTAGAGAATGGAGAACTTTCTCCACCTTCCCATCTTTCTCTAGGCGAAAGTACGCTTGGACTCCCTCTACATAGTCCTCAACACGCATAGTGCGGTTGTCTGCGAGGATACTAACTATGGGGTCTTCCAACTTCTAGACTTTCAATCCTAGCCTCAACTTTTTCAGCGCTCTACGACTAATATAACTACGGGTGGCCCCTGAGTCTATAAGGGCCCCAACTCTACTTCTGAAAACTTCTACATCCACTAGGACTAACTGCCCTTTACTATCTTTCTTCATGTTGGCCCAGGCGGGCATCCTCTCCTTCAATTCCACTGCCACGCCTATGAGGGACGTGCCTAGAGAGAAGATGATACAAGCAGTCTCTGGACAGCTAACTAGGCACGGGCCTACAACCTCTGCCGAAGGCTCATGTAGTGTGGGAGTTTCCTGTACGCGCGCGCTCACTTCCCCATATGGCCTAATCGTAGGGGCAGTTGCGACCCCTACCGACGACTGCCTTTTGACTCCTGGGCAGCCCAACGGGCCTGTCTATATTTCGGACAATATTTGATTATATGGGCAGGGTCACCACAGTAAATGCACTGCCCCTGCTCCATTCGCTGTTGCCACACTTTCTGATCTAGTCCCTGGTCTTCCTAGGGCCGGCCTTGCGGCCAACCTGGGTGCCAACCTGCTCTCCTTTGAGGTGATCCTCCACCTCGTCTCTGCCGGGACCGACTGGGACCTTGACGATTTGGCGGGGGACCTTGACCCCTACCTCCCTCTTGGCGGTTCCTTTGGCCGCCAACCCCCTGAGCGCCCGATCCTCGGCCTCCCATGGCCTGGCCCCTTTGGCCCTGGCCTCCTCCTCTACTCTGCGGCCTCCCTCCAGCCGCGACAACAACATAGGACCTCCCTTGACCCACGCTATTGTCCTCCTCTTCAAGGCCCCACTCAATCTGACTATACGGGACCTCGTTCGTACCACCTTCTTCCAACGTAAGGATCATATGATCCTTGGCCCTAACCTGACCAGAGATGGTACGCCCTTTCCACTTTTTTCCCTTATCTAAGTCTTTGTGCCAGAAAGTGGAAACTGGCATGGACTTGGCCTCAAACAAGACCACTTCCCTACTCAATGCGTCGTATGTGATGTTGGGCAGTTGGGTCTTGTCAAAAAAGTGCCCTCGCAAGGGCTCTGGCATGGCACGATAAAACAACTGAACCAACTGGGTCTCAGTGACCCCATGGTCCAGCACGGCTACCAAGTCGTCCATGAAAGCCTTGAGTGCTCTCGCACTCTTCCACTATCGTGAATGGATGGTTTGGAGCTTGTCGGAGCCCTGACGCCTCTACTGACGTTAGCAAACCTCTCGCGCAGGAGTTTGAGGAAAGTGGCGAGAGGGGTAAGCCTAGAATATGCGATCATGTTATGCTCGCAATCTGCGGCACGTGCGAGGGACCTGGCGAAGCTGGCTGCTTCGTCTTTTAAGGCGTGGAAGGCAACGAGGACTTGTTCCTCGGGGGCAATATGCTGTAAAAAGACAATAGGTGTTTATGCTGGCCTCCCAGTTATCGAAATTCTCCTCTTTTTTCCCGCTATATGGGTCAGGGAATTTCAACTTGACTGGCTCTTTGCGTGGACGCGCCGTGGCCTCTGTTGTGGCCACAACTTTGGCGGTCTCAATGGCTCCAGCGCAGAACTTGTCTATGCCATCCCTCAATCTTCTAATTTCGGACCTAACGTGGCCCACCACGTCGCTCGCAAACTCCCTGAACCCGGATCGCATTGCTTGCAGGGTCACCTCTTGACCCTTACGGGCCTGGTGCTCCTCCAGCCAAGACTCACTCAAGACTTCCATGAAGCCCATCATCTTATCTAATTTGGCAGAGACCTCTGTCTGGGCCTGCAGCTCCTGCCTGCCGATTCGCACTCCCTCAACCTCCCCGGCTATCCCGCTGACTTCCTCCCTCCTTCTCTTCTTTTCCCTCATCATCTTCAACTTCCACTCTAACTTCTTCTCATCCTCTGTTGCTTGGCTTTCCAGGGGATCCCCTATCAGCTCCAGGGCCCTGGCAAACGCCTCCCTCTCCTCCTGCGACACGTATAATTGTGCCTCTTCATCTTCTCCCAATGATAAATTAGCCACCCATTCACTAATTTTTTTCTCCCTCCATCTTTCCTCCTCCTTCGTGCCACTTGCTTCCCCTCTCTCTTCTCCACGTCTTCGTTCAAGGGGCTCTTCTTCTTCTTCCTCCTCTGCTGCTGCTTCTTCCTCTGCAGCCCTTCTTCTTTCCTCCTCCTCTGGCTGTATTTGCAGCATCTTCTTCTTTTGAAATCTCAACATCTCCTCCTCCAATCTCTTCTTCTTCGCCGCCTGCTCCTTTGCAATAGCCTTTAACTTTGCCTGCTTAAGGAGATCCTTCTTCTCCTTTTTCTCTCTCAAAAGGGCGGCAATCCGGGCCTGCTCGGCCTCGGAGGGGGCAATACTCTTCCCACTACGGGTGTCAACCATGGTGATTGGTGCACAACCAGACAACCGGTTCCACTCCTCGCCACTTAGACTCTACTCCCCCTGACTGACTCACCTACTGACTCAATCTAAAGACTTACAGAATCCTGAAAGGATCCTGTCAACTAGGGTCACTAGCGTAGACCTACTCTAAGGCTGTCACTACAAGACCTGTTGCTGATCAGGAGGCATTTAAGGAGATCCCCCGTAACTCCTCAAGAATTCTTTAACGTCGCAGACAGGATGACGCGATCAGTAGGTCTTCTCAACACTTAGACGGCCCGTTGTGCAGCCCACAGCTCGGAGTTTGGGCCTACCGTGCCACATCGAGCAGCCCGCCGGTCAGTACCGGTCCTTGGGAGGGTTCGTGTCCTCCGGGACAGTCGAGTCATCAGACACAGTCTTTAGCCCTACTCAGTCCGTGTGGGTTTGGTCAACAAGGCCCTATCCTTCATCCACAGAGTTCCTAACACCTGGACAGAAGAGACTCAATGCAGAAAGAAGAGACAGACAGACTTGACTCAGCAAGTACCACAGGGTGTGTGCACATCCGTAGGGCGAGGGGATAGGCTGAAGGCTTGGCGAGATTATACTGGCTCCAGCTTGGTCAAACTCGTGGTCAACGGTCTTGGTCAACGCCTTGGTCAACGTTGGGTCAACGCTGCAGTCAACCCCCGGTCAACCCCCGCTCAGCTCCGGTCAACTCCCGGTCACACCCGGTCAACGCCCGGTCAACGCCCGGTCAAAGCCTGGCCAACTCTCCCGGTCAACTCTTCCGGTCAACTCCGGCTATGGCGGCCGGCTTCACCTTCGTCGCTACCCTTCTCCTTCCTTCTCCCTACCTCGCCTCCTTTCTCTTCACCCCTGTTGTCTTCTTTCTCTCTTTCTTTTTTTTTTTTTTTTTTTTTCGTCTCTCCCTTCTCCTCTGTCTTCTTTTTCACCCTCCTTCGTTTCTCTATGGTCGAGCTCCGCGGCTATGGCCGGCTCTCACCTCATGGGACTGCACGACACACTTCACAGGTAAGTGACAATCAAACTTGTATCGCTCATCTCTCTCTCTCTCTCTCTCTCTCTCTCTCTCTCTCTCTCTCTCTCTCTCTCTCTCTCTC